AAGCGGAGGAGTCGCAGCGCGTGATGTGCGATGTAGGACGTACAATGGTACATTCTATTAACTTGACGCGAAATCGCTACAGTACGCGCTGCGTGCGACTCGTCCGCTGACGTCCCTTCTTGCCGCGCGACGGGCTTCCTGTCGGATACTCTTGAGGAGGCCGAGATCTTTTGTTCGAGAGTGGAGAATTGCTACTTCGAATACAGCAGAAAGCTTGCAGGGTACAAACTTCCAGAAAATAATGGGCCCTACAAACCCATGTACGGAATTTGTGTTTCAGTGGACGCACAGTAGCTTTTGGTCAACCTAATAAATCATGAGCGCAGGCATTAGAGAATGAAGCATTTACGCATGCATAGTTTATTTCCCTTTCTCCGGATCTGGGCTCAAGATGAAAGAATCCCATGATTCTCAAGAGGCTACTTTATTATTGAGTACTGCTCAGGGATCGCCTGTGTGTATTCAAAGGATGGGTACGTTTCAGTGTACACCTATCTTAGTTAGCACCTGTATGGCCCTAGATAAAGTTAGGCCATTGTGTGGCCCTGTATTTCATGTTCTTTTTGGACATAAACATGAAAGGAGAAATCGAAGGTAATTGTAAGTGAAACAGGCCACATTCAATTCAAGATACATACCACTACTAAACTATTACTACTAGATAAACGCTACATCCTTCTAAGCTACTGTGAAAAGATGCATGGGAAATACCATAAATGCGGTTACTCAGTAAAGAGACAGGAAGAAGAGTGAAATGTGCATCGATTTGAGGATGTGCTGCGCGAAGTTACACTTCTGGCAATGACAACAGCTAATTACAGCGTGTGCGTAGAATTATTATTGAACCACCTCATGTGGTCAGATCAAGCCCAAAGCTTTTTGTTTGATAAACCCGCGCTCATTTTTCCCGACTTTCGCTTGAGTTTTCTGCTGTAAGCGCGGGCACAAGCGAAAGGAGGATTTAACTTTGGAAATGAAAAATCTAGCTGGATCACACGAAGAACAAGGTGTGATGAGAGAATGAGGAATCAATTTGCCGAAGAGAAATGTGGACGTGGTGCAAGGGAGGTCCATAAACTACTGCGAGTAACAAGCAGACTCCTCCTGACGAGCCTCTCCGCTGCCACGCTATTTCTCAGTGCTATAGCCAGCAGCCACATCGATCAGAAGGTAGACCGCCCACAGCGGACCTTATCCGCTTGCAGTGCATAAGAGGAGTTAGAAAATGAACATCTGCCCTGGTGATGACATTGATGCTATCAGCTCACACCATCCCACTACATGATGTGAGAAACGAGGGAATTGAGGGAATGAGCGTAAGATGATGAGGAAAGAAAGACACGAAGCACAAGGGATCGTGACTGAATGTCGCATAGGAACCAATTATAACGCTGGGGCGTCACACAGAACCTCAACCGAACGACTTCCAATTGTGTCTTACACTTAGGAGAAAGGATCGCTAATTGTAAATGCCTGCCGATCTTATGAAGCGCAGTAACTTTCAAGTCCTATGCCTCCTGGAAGCATGAAAGGGAAAGTGTGGAAGGTGTCAATTTCCACTACAGTGCAGTGGACGCACCTGGCGGAATGGAGTGGCTACGGTAGTAGCAAAGCCTAACGATGACTAATTTTCTTCCTTGAACAGGATCACCGATCAACACAAACAAGGGCAGTACGGAAACGGCCAGGCGCCGCATTAGATCCGAATGTGGGAAGAGAGAGTTACATGTGAGCCTTGATGATGCCATCATATCGGTTCCTTGAGGTGATTACTTCACCATGAAAGGAAATCTAGATTTCCACGTTGAGAGTAACATAGAGGTCCAGACTGTCTGCATAGAGTAGGGAGTAGGAGTAAGGAACGCCGTGGGAGAGAGGGTTCTAGGCTTGGCGTTTTCCCTCGAGTTGATGATCGGAAGTATTCTTCGCGAAAATGACGTGAGAAGTTAACCTACAGCAGAGAAGGAAAACTAACTGAAATCGTGTGCTCGTAGAATGGACGTCCCTTAAGACTGTAAACAATGTAAGGTACTCTACGGCAAAGGACTGGCTCCGCATCTCAGGTCCTTCATGGCAAACATTACCTTAGGTCTCCCCATAAAGGCAAAGCACCCAGCCAATAATACAATAGTGAGGCCACAAGAAAAGGAAAATGACGATCTCATACGGGAGTTGAAGACCTTTGTACGATGTGTCAAAGGGGCACTGGGCGAAATCCGTAGTGAAAACAGGGTAGGCAAAACAGCGGGTTCTGGGAAGTGGGCCTCCAACGAATCGTCAAGTAACGAAGAAAGTATGTGAGTACTGGCAGAGGGGGCGGAGTCCAAAAGACCTCGCAAGAGTTGCAACGACTGCTAAAGCAACCACTACCAGGGCAAAGCGAGCTAATCAAAACATGGGGATGATGAAGTGCGCACAAAACGGCAACGGAGCCATACTGAGGAAGCCAACCGAAGTCGAGAAGATGTGGAAAGAGTTCTTCACTGAGTTTCTTGACGAGAAGCGCCCCATAAGGACAATCTACGGGCAGATGCGACAGCTGATTCAGTCACAAGGTGGATAGACAGATATTTATGGAGAACTAAGGAAGCGAGGGTTGGGGCGGTTCAGATGGGATACCAACCGAAGCAGGAGGCATTTGGATAGTATAGGATATTATGGCTCACCTGATTCCTCAACAACGAAGCTGCGGAAGGGAGTTTACTGGATGCCCGAAGGAAAAAGCGCTGCCGGTCTTATCTTTCAAGAGAAGAGGACGCAAGGGAGTTTCACAACTACAGCGGGACTGATCTGACTACGCATTCCATGAACTTGTAGAAATGGCAGGTCTCGATCTTCCCAGAACACTTCTGGTTCATGCCTGAGTGAGTGGGAAGTGAGCTAGACGCTAACGGTAGCGTAGAACGCAAAGCAAAACTTCAGATCAACGCGGCATGGATGAAATGGAGGGAGTCCACTGGAATCCTCTGCGATCGAAGGTGCTCCAGAACGCTCAAAGGGAAGGTGTACCGAACAGTGGTAAGGCCTGCGATGCTATACGGCAGCGAGTGCTGGCCCCTGAACAAGAATCACGAAAGGCAGCTTCACTCCACGATGCTGGAGAGCTTCTGGCTGCACGAGACTGGTCAGGGTCAGAAAAAAGGAAGTCCCAGTCCATTCAAAGGTGTGAGCAGGGTCGGTCCTATCGTTGCTACTTTTCAAAAAGTTTTTACGACCCCCCTCCCTCATGAAATGTTTCATACGACCCCCTCTTTCAAAACAATTTTTACCCCAAAAAATTACCGTCGAGGGGGGGGGGTATATACTTACCATAAAACCGCAAAAATTCCCTACATTTCCCTACAATTTCCATGTATTTTACCCATATTTCAACTGCTCCATTTTCTAGGGGGGTATATACGCGCGCTGAAACGGCAAATTTTCTCCCGCGCCGCTCCCCACTCATCACATGCAACTTCTTACAACCGAAGCAAGTACGACCCCCCCTCTACAAACTCATCAAAATACGACCCCCCCCCCGTTGCTACTTGTAGCAACATAGGGTTGACCCTGGGTATGAGAGCAGTTAATGGCGATGATACGGAGACATTAAAAGGAGAGAGAACTTTGTGGTAGAAAGAGCAATGTACTTCAAAGCGCAGGCCGTGTGACATGAGGTGACCTAAAGAAGAGATGAAAGAGTGCTATCAAGAGAGAGCTCACTAAAGTCGGGGCCACCGCAGAGGGTGCCTTGACAGAACCAAGTGAAAGTGCGGACCCTGCGTGAGACCAAGAAATAAGGCATTCTCATGACAAAACTAATGCGAGAAATTCCCTAGCTCAAACAGTCCAAACAAC